ACAAGATACCATTTATCAAATTTATATTTAAAACCCAATGCTGCGTGAGAACAAACATCAAACTTCCTATAATTTTAGAACAAAGCACTTTAGAGTGATGTTTTGCGTCATTGTTGCAACAGAATTTAAATCAAAGTTATTTCCATATGCAGCGCTAGAAAGATTGCACTCTTCATTTATTCAATATAGAACCATCACTGCTTAAAATAGAGTTACTTAAGCAATTTCAATGGAATGAAGTGCATGTAAAGAAAATGTTCCAATCAGTACCTTCATCAAGGTCTTCTGGATGCGATGGTTTTGTTGCATTTTTCCTGAAGAAAAGTTCAGTGTAAGGATGCACATTTCAAAAATGCGCAAAAGTCCTGTCACATTAAAAGCCTCAGAACTTATGTAGTGTTTGGGCATTAACTTGTCAATACTGGACAGAGGTTGGAGTAGTAGAAATTAATCATGTTTTGGAAATCAATTCTTTATTTTCAACTTACGTGTTTTTCTCATCCTCATCGTCATCCTCATCATCATCATCAATAAGTTCATTAGAAGAAAAACCAGAAGAACCACTACTGGTGTCATCATCATCTTCATCATCGGCTTCTTCCTCCTCTTCCTCCTCCCCATCTCCCACTTCCTCTCCTTCTTCGTCGGAAGGGATCGAAAGTTTCTTGCCTGGAACAATACAGGTAATATCAGATCTAAAAGAATAAACAGTCCAAATTTACATTAAAATCATTTAATGTACCTTTTTTTCTTCTTTGGGGCGGTCTTAGACCCCTTACCACCTAAATTTTTTTTAAAAAAAATTACATATTGTATAGTACATCACTGCTAGTTTGAAATAATCTCTGCATGCATAGAACTCACTAGCTCATTTGATTAAAACTTACCTTTGCCTTCCACCTTGACCAGCTCTTCTTTATGTAATTGGATGATGTATTAGGATGTTGTCATGTTAAATTGTGATCAGATCAAAAGAAGCTCCCAGGCGAAGGATTTGGCGTGTTTACTCGATTTTTGAATTCGTAATTTCTTTAAGATTTGCTTAGAAAGTCGAAAAAAACCTCTATTATCGATTCATTTGGACACAAAATGGAATATTTTAGTAACACCATCATAACTGTATGAATTACAGTTTCTTTGCTGTAAGTAGAAACTAAATTACACCATACCGAGCACAATACTCGTTCTCTACCTTCCTAGAAGAGGTGTGGGAGGTAAAGAACGAGTGAAATATACGTCTTGGGAGACAAACTTTTTTAAATGGATCTTTTTAATGTTTCAGGTGATATTTATAAGCTGCCAACAGTGTTTGCCCGCACGGAAAAAAAGAGCTAAAAAAGTGACAGGCCAAAGTGTCTTAAAGGTGTAAAAAAAGTATACAAAAAGTATGAAAAAAGTTTGCCTAAAGTGCCACCAAAGTGGTGCGGTTCCAATCTGCTATATTTTAAGTATACCTTATGTATACTTTTCACAAAAGTATACCCGAAAGTGTCATTTGGATATACTTATTTCCATGCGGGTGATCATCTATTGCATAGGAAGAGTACTCCCTTGCACCCTATTGCTAAACAGGGACAATT